GGCGGCGGCCGGCGGGATCCCGTGGAGGTGGCGGTGGAATGGGGGGAATTGACCCCAACCGCCCCACCTCCCGTCCCCCTTATCCGCTCGATGTCTCCATCAGCGGCGCTGCCATGGGCCTTGGCCGAAAGGCCTCGTGGGCTGTGGCCCATGTTGCAACGACCAGAAAAAAAACCCAACGGGTTATAGGCTAGATTGCAAAAAATCCTTATATTATCGGGATTTCGTGCATTAGTCCAACTACTAGTACTAATTTAGTGCTTGTCATGTTTTAGCCCCGTAAATTTGGGAATTCGCAGATAGGTTCAACTACTAGTGATGTAATTAAGTACTTGTCATGTTTTAGACCTTGTATCTTGATGTGATTATATATTGTACTCAATTAAATTGTGTATTGATGTTTAGACCATATTATTTCTATAAATCGTTATATGTTCAATGTGTTTGCAATTTGAAATCCCTATAACATGTACAAATGGTACAATAATATTATTTTGCAATTGAAAATCATTTATTCTTGCAACTCAAATATTAATTCGCCATTAATTAAGTCCAAAAATGCCTATGTAGCACAAAAATAGACTTAATTCGAATATAATTTAAACAAAGTTCAAGTCTTTACTTGAATTCACAACAATTGCAAAATTTATTACAACATGACCATGATGATTTTAATTTACATACAAGTGAATTGATCGATTATCTGGTTCTCAATCTTGTAGGACAAAATGACCGTCAAAGAATTTGAAGAGCTTGCGCTCGACGGACACAACTATCCTACATGGGCTATGGATGTTAAAATCAGTCTTTCATCCTGTGGAATTGTAGCTGCACTCATACCTCCTGCAGACCCTCCCCAAGAGGGAATTGCACAATTAAACGAACAACAATAATATGCTGCTTTATACATAATAAGGCACCATATCCATCCAGATCCGAAATCTGAATATTTGATGGAGGAATCTCCAAGCAATATGTGGCAATCACTTAAGACTAGATATGAACAACAAAAGGCAGTTATACTTCCTGAAGCTAGTCATGAGTGGACCCATTTAAGACTCCAAGATTTCAAATCGATCGGAGCTTATAATCATGAGGTTCATAAAATTTGCTCAAAGTTGCGGTTTTGCGAGAAGGAGCCTACAGAAGCAGATAAGATAGAAAAGACTCTATCCACTATGCTCCCAGCCGACAGGATCCTACAGTAACAATATCGTGTCCGCAATTATACAGTTTACTCTGAACTTATACATGTGCTCCTCCAGGCTGAGAAACACGATGAACTTCTGCTAAAGAATAGTAATCAACGCCCAGTTGGGGCGGCTCCTCTGCCTGAAGTACATGCAAATTTTCAGAAAAATACCAAGTTCAATGGTTCTTTCAAAGGCCAAAACAAGAACTTCAAGGGTAAGAGCAACCACAACAAGAAGAACAAGCCACAAAATTCAGACAAGGGGAAGGGCATAACAAAGAATAAGTTTGATAAAACTAAACTTTGCCAGAAATGTGGATGCTACAAGCATGTCACCAAAAAATGCCGCACCCCAAGACATCTAGTAAACCTCTACCTCCAATCCATGGGACGTAACAGACCTGCCCAAGGAGCAAGATATGAAGCTCACTTCAATCTTCAACCTGATAACAACTAGGAAGCTGGTTGTTCGCAAGATGTTCGAGGAGCACCAAGTAACAACAAGGAATTCCATATATCACAGGACTCCATGGACACGGAGAATATGATGACCGAATACGCCGCCGACATGTTCGGGGACTTTGACTAGTCAATTGACTCCATTTAGATATTTTATTTGTTTACATCCATCAGATTGTTGTAATAAAAACATATTATTATTGTTATTGTCATCATTCTATATTGTAAAAACACAATATATATTGTATCAGCACTTTGATATCAATAAAATTTGTATGTATTCTATATATCCAATAAAGTGTTTTTCATTAAACTAAAAATTCCACATTTTTAATATATAGATTTCTACGGGAGTCAATCCAATGGAGGAGGAAATGTTCCTTGTGGACAGTGGCACCACAAACTCTATACTTAGGGAAATAAAGTATTTCCAAACTCTTACAAAATTGAATGGAGATATTTTAACAATCGCTGGACGCGATGCGGTAATTGTTGGCAAAGGACGTGCCATATTTACCCTCCCTATGGGTACACAAATTGTAAGTGAGGATGCTTTATTGTATCCCGATTCAACTCGTACCCTCATAGGTTATAGAGATATCCGCAAAAATGATTTCCACATTGAAACTTATAAAGATAACAAAGAGGAATATCTCCTCTTTACCAAAGACAACGGATATGGCAAACATATATTTGAGAAAATTCCCTCTTTATCATCAGGATTGTACTACACGTACATAAAACCCGTAGAACACATTGCATATAAGGTAATTTTTCAGAATGTAAATGCATTCCAAACTTGGCATGATCGCCTTGGTCATCCTGGTATAGGGATGATGAGGAAAATTATTCGCAATTCCAATGGTCATGACTTAAATGAAGCCAAATTCCCACAATCTTCAGATTTTATGTGCACTGCATGTGCTACTGGGAAACTCATTTTAAGACCCTCATATCTTAAAATTCAAGCAGAACCACTACAATTCCTTGAACGAATTCAAGGTGATATTTGTGGTCCGATCCAACCATTGTCTGGACCTTTTAGGTATTTCATGGTTCTAATAGATGCATCTACACGATGGTCTCATGTGTGTTTACTATCTACACGAAACCATGCATTTGCCAAAATAATGAGACAAGTTATCAAATTGCAAGCTCATTATCCTGAGAATCGAATTAAATCAATTCGAATGGGCAACGCTGCTGAATTCTCTTCACATGCTTTCAATGATTATTGCATGGCATTAGGCATTGAAATTCAGCACTCGGTCCCATATGTCCACACTCAAAATGGATTGGCCGAATCTTGAATTAAGAGAATTAAGCTCATTGCATGACCCTTACTAATGAATTGCAATTTACCAACTTCTTGTTGGGGTCACGCAGTTTTACACGATGCCGACTTAATCCAATTGCGACCAACTGCATATCACAACACTTCCCCTCTGCAATTAGTACGTGGAAACCTACTAAATATTTCCCATCTGCGT